AGTGAGCAGGCGCAGGGAGTAGGAAGGGAGAGCCCGTAGAGATACCGGCCCAGGCCCGCTCAAAATCGTCCCCTGGACCCAGCCTGGGGTCCAGCCGTGGCGACGAGAAGCCCCCCGGAGGCACCTGGCCCTCCGAAGACCCGGGCGCGGGGAGACCAGGCCCCTGCGCCGAGGCTCTACGGGCGGAGCTCTGGGTGCGGGCCCAGAGAGCCGATGTTCTGATTGCTTCCTCCTCCTCCTCCCCCTCCTCCCCCTCCTCCTCCTCCTCCTCCTCCTCCTCCTCCTCCTCCTCCTCCTCCTCCTCCTCCTCCTCCTCCTCCTCCCCCGTGCCCGGCCGCTGGAAGTTCAGACCCGGTCGTTTCATCCGAGTCGTTTTTTGACGCTACCAGGGGCCGAAAGTTGCGAAAAATTTGCGTTGTTATATTTGTCAACAGGAGTTCTGGGGGGACCCCGCCCCGCGCCCAGGCGCCGATGCATCGCAGATGCGGCTTGGTGTGGAGACAGATTCTCTCCACGCCGACGGCGCTGGTGCACCGTCGCCTTCGCCGATGCATCGGCGAGGCATCGGCGAACGCACCGGCGATGCATCGGCGGTGCGGCGCGGTCCTCGGACCCCGCGGCCTCGGACCCCGCGCGGGACGCCTCCACAGAGGCCCCGCCCCGCGCCCAGGCTCCATGGGCGGCTGCGCCCGCGCGGGCGGCAGCGCGCCGCGCTCGGGCTCCGGGTCGCTGCCGCCCGTCGGCCACGGGCCGCTGCGCGGGGCCGAGAGCCCGCGCTCGGGGACGAAAAGGGGCCGCCGTGCCCGAGGCGTCGACTGGCTGTGTTCGCAGATCTCTGACGAGATGATCGTAGGGGAGGCTCGAAGTTCGAGGTTTGCGGCCGTCTTCGTCAGTTCGCGGCGGTTCCCCAGCCCCTCGGGATGCCTTCCAGCGGCTGCGCCTCGCCCAGTATTTCTTGGGGGTGCTCAGATCGTCCCGAACGGTAGCCGGAGACCCGAGGTACAGTCGGACCGAGGTATAAGTTCGAGGTCGTTTCGGGGAGGGTACCCTGGTGTTCTTCGTGTCTGTTGGATGTTCTTGTGCATCCTGGGGAGGGTACCCCTGGATGTTCTGTTCGTTTGCGCCGACGGAGGGTCTCATGTTCTTGAAGGATGCTCTCCTGGCCGAGGTCCAACTGTGTGACCCGAAAGCCGCACGACGACTCGACCCCTGCGGGTCTGGGGATGACGAGTTGCGACAGCGGTACTTGGCCTTCGGAGAGTCCCCTCGTCGCCATGGGGCTGACCGCAGCTCGGAAAACTGGTGCGTCTGGACTGTTGGGAGGGGCCCAGGGACCGATTCCGAGCTGCCGTGAACTCAGCTCGCCCTGCCACGAACGATGCTGCAACCCAGGCGTCTTGTCTTAGACGTCGGCCGCCAGGCGCCGCTCTTGGGCCGCGGGGCCATCAGAAATGGCTGGGGCCACCTCCGGGGGAGGGGGCGGGACCTCCCTGGGGCCGCGCATTGAGAAAGTATGTCCTCGGATGTCTGGGCCCCGGCCTTCTCCTGGCCATCCTATCGAGTTTTGGGCCTTCGCTTTGCATTCTGAGGGGCAGCGTCAAAAGGGGGTCCACCCCGACCATGGGGCCGAGAGCAGAGCAGGGGAAAAAGGCGCCTGGCCTGTGGAGTTGGGTTTATTTCTGTCGGAGGTTGATCGAACCCTGCCAAGCCGAGGAGCAAGTTGCCCTTTCTCGATTCTCGACGGGGCGCGGCGGTCGCATTCTATTACGGGCCTGCGCCCGCCAGGTCTGGTCCCTGGTCGTTTTGCCTCAGCGTTGTGTTGCTGAAGGATGTCTGTCCACCCCCTCGAGTTGGGTCCTCGCTTCGGATCTGTTTGAACCCGCAGCGCCGCGCGTCGGGCTTTTGCGTTGCGCGGATTTGGGCTGCGTGGGCCGTAACGTCTGACCAGTCAAGTCACGATCCTCAGAAACCCAAAACAAATCGGAGGTGGCGGAGCGGTTAAAGCAGCAGGTTCTGACAACCGCAGATAGCAGACAACAGTGCGAGAGCGATGATGTAGGGAACAGACGAAGCGCTCGTGAGCTCATGCTCGAACCTCCACATCTCCTCCGCTATATGCTCACTGTCTCATCACATATCTCCTCAAGTAGCAGCGTTGCGCCGCCGTGCATCGAACAGATTGCATGGTGCCGCCCCGCCTATTTGGGCACCTCCCTCACACCTTTCGTGGCCCATAGGGAGCTCCACCGAGGGTCGCATTGGGACAGATCGCATGACGCCGCACCACCCATTTCGGAACACCCCTCACACGCATCGTGGCCCCATTCAGAGCTCCACCGAGAGTCTCAAGGGGACGGTTCGCATGGCGCCGCTGCGCGCTGCGCCTATCGGCACACCCCTCACTCGGTCCGTGGCCCCGTAGGGAGCTACACCGATGGTCCCAGAGGGACAGATCGCATGGTGCCGCCGCGTTATTTCGGCACACGACTCACATGTTTCGTGGCCCGATGGGAAGCCCCACCGAAGGCCCTTCTGGCAGGGGTCGCAAGCCGGTTCGCCCATTTCGGCACACCTCTCACACGCTTCATGGCCCCATAGGGAGCTCCACCTAAGGCCCTTCTGGCAGGGGTTCCATGCCGCCCCGCCCATTTCGGCACACCTCTCACACGCTTCGTAGCCCCGTGAGGGGGCTCCACCGACCGCCGTGCAGCCGAGTTCGGCACGCCCCTCACACCCATCGTGGCCCCATAGGGAGCTCCACCAAAGGCCGCAGTGGCGGTGACCTGCTGCCGCCCCCGCCTCTTTCGCACATCCATTGCACGCTTCGCGGCCACATGGGTAGCTCCACCGAGAAGCCCCCAGCGGCGCTGGCCACCGCCCATTCTGGCACACCCGTCACACATTTCGTAGCCCCATCGTCCTCCTCGTCCTTCCTGTCACCTGCCCTGCGGCGCCCACACCTCCCCCAGGGACCATCAAAGTTCGATCCCCTAGCCCTGAGATCCGGGCGTTGCAATTTTGTTCACACCGGGCGTTTTCGCTTATTTGCGGGACCGGGGGCACAGATCGATCCGGTTCCAAAAATGACGCAGAAAGACGGGGTCAGGAGCTCCGGTCGCTATTTTTCGTGATGTTGCATTTTTTTGCAACGTCGGATCTCAGGGAGAGGAATTGGTCGAGACCTCTAAGGCACGCGACTTGGAACGATCAATCCGTCGGAGGTCCAGGGAGCCTGTGAGTGCGCACTTTTCGCCATCCGCGGCAATGGCATCGTCGTCTGGTCAGCGAGCAGCGGAGAGCGCCAACTCAAACGGCAGTCGCCCGTGTGCTGTTCACGCTCAGGCCAGAGCAGGGCCAAGTTTGCGGTTGCGCCCAGAGAGCCAGCGTAAGGAGAAAGCGTCCAGAGGGAGATGGGGTCATGAGTTGTTTTGCCGTTTTGTTCCGCCTCCCTGGGCCTCTCCCCAGCCCCAGGACCGCCAAAAAGGACAATTGGGGAAGCCCTACGTGGCGCGCCTGCTTCCCCCATATGGACCCCAGGCCTGATGCTGACGGCAGCCTCCAGACACGGCGCAGGCTGGCATGCCCAGGCCCCCAGGGGCGGGCAGCGCCCGCAGGGGCGCTCCCCGCGCCCCCGTCGTCGTCACCGTCGTCGTCGTCGTCACCGTCGTCGTCGCCATCGTGGTCGTCGTCGCCATCGTCGTCGTCGTCGCCGTCGCCGTCGCCGTCGCCGTCGCCGTCGCCGTCGCCGTCGCCGTCGCCGTCGCCGTCGTCGTCGTCGTCGTCGTCGTCGTCGTCGTCGTCTCCGAGGGCCTCGAAGGACCACCACTGGGGCAGCCTGGGCTGCCCCACCCCCCCAGGCGGGCGGGGGGGGGGCGCCCGCGCGCGGCCCGCTGGGGGTCCCTGCCGTCGCTGGCACCCCGCCGGGCCCCCGCTCGGGAGGGGCGTCAGCTCACCGCCTCCCTGCGAGCCTGGGCGGGGCCGAGCTGCGCAGCTACGCTCTGGGGCCTCGGGCCGGCCGGGCCAGGATGGGCCCTGGGTGGCCCGTGGGTCGGGGCGGGGCGATGGAAGTGTGTACGGAAGGAGGCGGGTACAAAGTCCAACAGCAGTTCTTGTTCGTTCTGCACAGTGTTCACTGTTACCAAGGCCGCGGCCGTTGTCCATTTGCTCCGTACCCGTTTCGGGCGCCCAAATTGGACGCCCCCAGAGCCCTCGGCCTCTCATCTGCCCGCGCCCTCCGCGCGGCAGGCGCCGCTGCATCGCGCGGCGCCCGCCAGGCGGAGGCTTCGCGGAGGGTCGAGGTCGAGGGCGGAGGGTGCAGGTCTTGCGACTCGGAGGCTCCCATGTCCCCCAGGCCTGCGTCACGACAGGGTGCCCTGCGGCCAGTCCGTTCGCGGTGTCGGCGTCCGTCGGCCGCTTTCAGGCAAGCGCTGCCGTGACGAGAAGCAGCTGCCCTGGAAATGGTGTCGAGAGGCCTGTGGCCCCGCGCATATAATTCATAACGTCGGATGTCTGGACCTAGACGTTCAGACCTCAGTTGCGTAGATTAGCCGAAGGATACCAGACTCGAGGGGATTACCAGAGAGAGACAGAGAGAGAGAGAGAGAGCAACGGAGAGACCAATCTTGAAGCGTGGACCCTGCTTCGCCTTCGACATCCACCTGGGGGACGGGACATCAATGACCCATGCACGGCAGGCCCGCGGGCGATGGCGGGGGGAGTGCAGTTCATCTGATGGGCATTCGCCCTTCAGCCCCCACTGAGCGCACATGCGGCAGCCGTGTACTTGTCGGTTCAGCCAGGCAGGTGCAATTCTGGATACCAGCCGTCCTCCTCATAGTTTCGGATCCCGAGATGGTCGGGATAAGCAGCCAGCGTCCGCAGCAATCAGCCAGGAACATGCGCATATACTTTTAAAGCACCGCGGGTAATATCACGATCGGCAGCAAAAGCATGGTTGCAGCGGTTGCATGTACGTTGGGATGATCCGATGACTGCGCCAGGTACCACAGTGTGCTCGGAGATCGGAAGAAGGCACGTGGGACATACCGCGAATTCATCGTTTATGATCACTATCAGGCTGGAGGGTGGGGCGCTGGGTGAGCAGGCACGGCTGGCCCGTTTCTGTTTTCGTTGTCGTAAGGATGCGGATTGAATCAGGAGGTAGTCGACGCGCTGAGTACATTTCACCGTTGCATCTGGCCCAGGCAATCACTAGAGTTTGGATATTGCGAATCATCATCGCGCGTGGCCTCCGTGAATCCGCATTATTACCCAACGGTCTTGCTGATTGAACCCGCTGCTGCGACGCTCGGTGCCCAACTTTGCCCAACTTCCGCTGTCTCCCGCTCCGTCATCCCCTCCCTTTCTCTTCCCCCAGCCCGTCCTCTTCATCTACCTCCCTTCCTTCCACTTCCTCAGCCCTTCCTCCCTCACTCTATTTACTTCCCTCTCCTGCACCCCTTCCCTTCCTCCCATCCCGTCCTCCCTTTCCTATCCCTCTCTCCTCTCCCGTTCCGTTCATCCATGCCTTCCCCCCTCCTTTTATGTTCCTCCTTTCCTCCCTCACTTCCCGCGGGTGCGACTCTTCTTCCGACACTCGACCCCTCCCATCCACTATTCCCTTCCGCTCCCCTCCTCCCGCCCCCCCTCGCCCTTCCCTCCCTCCCCTTCCGTACACCCGAACCCTCTTGCATCTTTGCGTCCCTTGCCTCCATACAGACACCAGAACACGCCATCTCATGGATTGAGTGTTGGTCATCGAGCACAGCGTGGACGCTTTCCAAGTGCAATTGGCGGAAACATGTTTCATTTGTACTTGTGTATGAATTCTTCCGCCTCCTCGTCGTCCGTATCGTCCTCGTCTTATTCGTACTCTTCATTCTCCTCATCCTAGTCGTCGTCCTCTTCAGTCTCATCATCAGCAGCATCAGCATTGTCATCGCCCTTTTCGCCCTCGTCGCCCCACTCCTCGTCATCGTCCATCCAAGCGTCCTCTTCTTCGTCATTTCCGCCTCCTCCTCCTCCTCGCCATCCTCCACGTCCTCGTCATCCTGGGCCTGTTCGTCCTCCACCTCTTTGCCCTCCTGCTCCTGGTCGTCCTTCGCCTCCTCGTCCTCGCGGTCCTTGTCGTCCTACACCTCTTCGCCCACCCGATCCTTGCCGTCCGCATCCACCTCGCCCTCTCGCCTCCCGTCGTCTTCCGCCGCCTCGCCCTTCCTCCGCCCCCTCTGGCGACGGCAGGTGTACCCCCTGTTCATTGTGTGGTACAAGCGTTCCTTCTGAGACCCTAGGCCGAAGTCTACTGTCCCCTGCCCCGGGCGCGTCAATGCACGCGCCCGCGCTGCCCCTGTCGAGTCTCACCCCAGGGTGGCGAGGCCCCTCCTCGCCCCCCGCGCGCCCCCGCCGAGCCGAGCCGCGCGCTAAGCCGCGCACCTTGGCGGCGCGGAGCGAGGGCGGCCCGAAGGCCCTCGAGACTTGGACCTCCCAGAGGCGCCCCCGAGGGCCGATGCGCACGGCGCGCAGGCGCGGGGGGTGGGGGGGGGGCAGGCTGCGAGGGGGGTCGGCCTTCCTTGGGCGGGCCCAGGACCGGGGTGCATCGCCCCAGCGCGTTTCGCAATGAGCGCTGTCGGAGCGTTGCGGAAGGGCCGTGGCGCCCTCGGCTCAAGTGGCTTTGGCGTGGTTGGCTCAAGCCGTCCATTCTGGCTTGAGCCGCCCATTCTGGCTTGGACCCCGCCCGCCCGCCCGCTGCCCCCTGCGGCGGCTACAGCAGTGGCTGCGGCTGCGGCGATGAGATGACGGACAGCAGCGGGAATAACAACGCGACGCGTTCGGAGGAGGAGGAAGATGAGGAGGAGCTTTTCATGGGTAACCAACCTTCGGCTATCTCAGTGCCCACCTCCACCCACCTCCTTTCCTCTGTCCATCTGGGCGCCCCAAGAGGGTTGACCCAGGGCACCCCCAGGGCACCGACCCCAAGAGGTCGGGGGACCCAAATGGGGGGGGACCCAAGACAGGGCCCCTAGGGGCCCACCTACACCTGCCAGCTGTGCTCTGTCGTGGACCTCCACCTCTTCTTCCTGCCCCTCTGTTGTGTTTATGATGTTGCCTCCTCTCCTTCTCTCTCTTCCTCCCCTTCTGGGGTCGAGCCCCACATTTTTGGTCCAGGCGCCCCACCTCTCCACTCCTATCTAGGTCATTATGTTACCTCGTTTCTTACAATTGGCTTCTCACATTTTCCTTCATGCGCCCCCACCTCCCCGCTGGGCTAAGCCGCGGGGAGATGGCAGGACAGGTCTGCACGACTACAGGATCACCTTCATCAGCCATGAGTCAGGTCAGGTCAGGAGGAGGAGCGGACGCGCCGCGGCTATGCCCCCCCCACCGGGACGCCGCTCTATGAGGTGGCCGGACGGCGATAACAGCGGCGGCTACGGGCAGCCATGGTGTCGTCGAAGGTCGATGCCGAGTAGTGTGGCCCAGCGGAGGTGGTGCACTTCGACATGACTGCCGACGACGGGGACGGGGCCGAGCAGGAGTTTTTGCGGGACTGAGCATGCACAGTGGAGGTGGGGAACTCCAGAGAGTAGTGCGACTCTGGAGACCACCACGACACCGCCGAGCAGCACGACGATGATGGACAGAAGCACGACTCCGGAGAGCAACACGACACCGGCGAGCAGCACGACGATGGCGGACAGCAGCACGACGCCAGAAGCGAGGGCGGGACGCTCCGGACACCACCGAGACAACGCCGGGGCTCGGAAGAGGAGGCGGACGAGGAGAGCGGCACGACGGAGGAGCGGTTAGAAGAGATGAAGATCGCACTTGGGCGCTCCACACAGCCCGCGAAGGGCACGTGAGTCTACATGGACGCGCGAATGCCATCTGAGCCAGAGCGGGAGGCGATCGGCGCTCGCGCGATGCTCTTGCGTCTCCACAACGACCTGTCGCAGCAAGTCGCGGCGATCGAGGCCGATGCCGTCAGCTGGGCGACGCAGGCTGCGGTGGCGCGGAAGGCTCATGCGCCAACGGCCGCGCGAGCAGTCCTCTGCCGCTGGCGAGCCTTCCTGGCGGTGGCCGCTGGTCTGGCGGTGGGCAACAGGCATGACTGGCCAAAGGAATCCGTTCTCTCCGCTCATCCTCCTCCTCCCTTCTTCTTCCCCTCCCTCCCCTCCTCCCCGCTTGAATCTCCAGCAATTCTGTCTATGCCGACTGGATGGCGCGCGTCGCGTGTCTGAGCCAGGAGGCTCTGCGTGGCAGTCCCTCCTCCCTCCCTTTCCTCTCTTCTGTTCTCCTCCCTCCTACCTCCCCTCCTCCTCGTTTTTGAATCTCCGGTCATTCCTCCCCGGCCGGCTGGAAGACGTGCGGTGAGTGCCTGAGCCGCGAGGCTCTGCGAGGCAGCCCCTCCTCCCCTCTCCCTCCTTCCCTCTCCTTCCGTTACCTTCCCTCTCCTTCCCCTACTCCTCGTTTGAACCTCCAGCCACTCCGACCATGCCGGCTGGTTAGCGTACGGCGAGTGTCTGAACCATTTGCGTGGCAGTCCCTCCTCCCATCTCTTTCTTTCCTCTCCTCCGTTCCCCTCCCCACTCCTCCCCTCCTCGTTTGAATCTCTGGCCGCTTCGTCCAAGCTGGCTGGATTGCATGCGGCGAGTGTGTGAGCCACGAGGCTCTGCGAGCAGTCCCTCCTCCCCTCTCTTTCCTCTCCTCAGTTTTCCTCCTTTCCTCCCCTCTTTCCTCATCTGCATGCTCTGTCGATGTGCTCCCAGGGCAGGCCGGGACTCGAGGGCGCGAGGCGCTGCCCGGGGAGGCGGCGCGGCCCGCCTCCGCAGGCCACGCCCCCTCTCTGCCCCCCCCTGTCTGCCCCCCCCCCGATCTGCCCCCCCCCCCCCCCCCGGGCAGAGGGCTCCCCCCTCGGGCGCTCCACCTCTCGGGGCCTCTCGCCGCCCTCGTCACGTCTCACCGGTGCGCGGCCGTCCTCGGCTGCGCCTGCCCAGAGGAGGAGGCCTTCTCTGCGGCCGCCGATCGGGTCGCCTCGAGGGGGGGAGAGAGAGAGAGAGAGAGAGAGCGAGTGAGAGAGAAGAGAAAGAACGAGAGAGAGAGAGAGAGTGCGAGAGAGTGAGAGCGGGAGGGAGGGAGGGAGGCTCCGCTCAGACTCGGGGCATCTGCGCGGACCTCCGAAAGTTATAATCATGTTTGTATGCTTTCTTCCTCTTGTCTCCGCGCTGGGCCCTCCGAGCGGGCCGGTCCGCCAGCAGGGCCTGGCATCCTACGGTATGGTTTGTGCCATGGGCGGCCCCAGATCCCGGCCCCCTCCCCAGGGGCAGCTTTCGGCCTGGATCTATTTCCGATGGTCTCGGGGGCCTGACCCAGACCCCCCTCGAGTCATGAAAAAATCACGACGGGAGGCGTTCGCAATTATCAGACGCTGGGGGCCCTCACCCAGCCTCGGGACCGGCAAACAACGACTCGGGATGAAAAACAGGTCCCGGGCCATAGGTCAAAACCTTTGGGGTCGACGTCATCAAAAAAGCATAACGACCAGGGTCTGGGGATGCAGCACGGCCCGACAACGGTTCCCCCCCACCCCGTGCCTCCCGACCCCTTCCCTTGGGCAAATTTTTCGCCGTGGGTTCGTTTTTGATGGCCCCACGGCTTCACAACGGCTACAAGAGGCTGAAAACGAACACAAATCTCAGCGATTACCTTCCCAGACATCCCCAGGGGCCGTTTTCGCTTGGGATCCATGTCTGATGGCCCGACGATGTGCCCAAGGCCCGAAACTCAGGAAGCACGCCTGGATCGACATCGCATTGGGTCCGTGGTTGATGACCCCACGTCCCGAAAACGGCCCTCAGAGGCCGAGATCGAGGAACATCCCAGCGAAAAACACATCGTCAGAGATCTTGGCCCGTGTCGGACGGGGCTAGGACGAGGGTAAATCCGTTCCAGAGCGTTCCAGCACGCTCAAAGAGCGTCCGGAACGCTCTGAGAGGGCCGCAGCGCCCGATACATCCTCCAGAGCCGCCAGATCTCAGAGGTTCTCGATTCATCCTCACCCGCATTGATTCTGCTCAGCCCCCGACGGTGCCTCGCTGCTTGTCTCACCCGCTGGCGCGCCGGGCCGGGGCCGCCCCCGTGGGGGGGGGGGGGGGGCCGGCGGAGCTCCCGGCGGGTCTCTTCTGCCCGCCGGACCCGCGGGGGCGGCGAGGCCGTCGGAGGGCCCTGCCCAGGCAGGCTCACGTTGTGCAGAAAAGATGGTCCTCCTCCTCCTACCTCCCTCCTCCCTCCTCCCCCCTCCTCCTCCCTCCTCCTCCCTCCTTCTCCCCGTGTCCTCCTCCTCCCTCCTCCTCCCTCCTCCTCCCTCCTACTCCCTCCTCCTCACAACTCCTCCTCCTTCCTCCTCGTCCTCCTCCTCCCTCCTACTCCTCGTCCACCTCCTCCCTCCCCCTCCTCCTCCTCCTCCTCCTCCTCCTCCTTCCTCCTCCTCTCCGCCTCCTCCTCCTCCCTCTTCCTCCCCTCCTCCTCCTCTCTCCCTCCTCCCTCCTCCCTCCTCCTCCTCCCCCTCCCTCCCTCCCCCTCCGCCTCCCCCTCCGCCCTCCGCCCTCCGCCCTCCGCCCTCCTCCCTCCTCCCTCCGCCCTCCGCCCTCCGCCCTCCGCCCTCCGCCCTCCGCCCTCCGCCCTCCGCCCTCCTCCCTCCTCCCTCCGCCCTCCGCCCCCCCTCCCTCCTCCCTCCTCCCTCCCCCTCCCCTCCTCCTCCCTCCTCCTCCTCCTCCTCCTCCTCCTCCTCCTCCTCCTCCTCCTCTTCCTCCTCCTCCTCCTCTCTCCTCCTCCTCCTTCCTCCTCCTCCCTCCTCCCTCCTCCTCCTTCCTCCTCCTTCCTATTCCTTCCTCCTCCTTCCTCCTCCTCCTCCTCCTCCTCCTCCTCCTTCTCCTCCTCCTCAGGCTACGGTGGGGAAGCCTGTGCGCCAGACCCGAGTCATGAAGACATTACGACGGAATGCTTTTCGCCATTTTCAGCCGTTGGAGGCCTTCGCCGGACCTCGGGGCCCTCAAAAAAACGGCTCGGGAGGAAAGGCCAGCCCTGGGGAATAGTTTTCGAGGCCTTTGGGGGTCCACGTCGCTCAAAAGTACCGTGACGTCGTGGGTCCGGGGCTTCCGCACTCGCGCACAAGAGCTGCATGCTCGGAGCGTGCTCCGCCGCCCGCGGCTTCCTCTCCCCCGCTTCACGCCTCTCACGTTCCAGTTGTGCCCAATTCGGCCCCGCAGTGTCGCCCGGCTGCCCCG